AAGATGATACCTTATCAACCAAGATTAATGATATTACTCATGTACCCTTGCAACCATTACATCAATATTATCTAAGTGACTATACTTGTGATCTTATTGCTTGACCCATATTGTACCTGCATCATGATTTTTCTCTACAAATCTTCCTTTGAGAGGTGGGCTCATTGGGAACCCATTCAGGACACCTCTTGTTTCTTAGGGGCTATTTCTATTCCCCATTCCTTTTCTCAGTAAATTTTCCTATTCTTAAAAAATTGTGGCCTTCAACCTGACACATCAGAAAGGAGTAAAGAATCTCTGACTCTAGTCTCTCAACCCCAACTACAGTTATAGATCTAGAGGAGAGTTTTCCAGAGAAGGAAGTAAAAATTGAATGAGTTACCCTTGTGTCAATAAGTAACCAAACCGGATCACTTATAATGTCAAAGATCACCTAGGGTTCCTTGCTGATATCCATGGACATGGGCACTATAGGTTCTCTGGGGCCACTTCAATCATTAGAGCAGGAAATGAGAGTTTTTGTCTATCCTAGCCCCTCTCTGAGAACAGGAACAGTTATCCCTCTAGTGCCATAAGTCAGACACACTGGTTGCCTCACACTTACATGAGGGTCTAGTAGTAGCTTGGAGTAGCTAGTAGTTATGCACTCTGTGTTCAGTCTTCTTGTATTTGAAGCAGGAATTTTTTCATTGTCTTTGAGTTCTCCCTTAGATGACCTGAGTGAGTTTGCCAACTGTGATAGCCACAATATAAGCCTTTTCTCTTTTGACCTTTATTGTGGTCAGGATTTGCAAGGAAAACAATTATATATGACACATAATTTATAGTATTGTTTTATAATAGTCACCCAAAGAGTTAAATATAGTAAGTACAGGAAATCTGTCCACATACGAAGACCTAAGGAATCCAGCTGAGGGTCTGGATCCCACATAAATGTTCTGCATGAATCCAACTGAAGACCTAGAGCCCACAACAATGCCCCGAATGAGTCCAACTGGTGGCCTAGAGCCCACAACAATGACTCATGCAAGTCTGTTTCATGGATCTGCACTGGGAAGGCCTGAAGGCCAGTGCTGGAAGCTAGAAAGTCTGTGCCAGTGGAATGAAGAGTCTGTACCAGCTGGTTAATGGTTCTGCACTGGACTCAAGTAGCAATGCTCAAGATAAGACCAGGGCTCCTCCGGAAAAGTACCACAGCCATACTCTGTGACAACGAGTCCCAAGCTCCTCTGGCAAGGAGAATTAGCAAAGTTCATATTAGGTAGCCAGTGTGACAAGCTTCTCCTGGAGATTAAATAGCACACCTGGATATTAAACAGAACACTTGTGGATCCAGGAAGCAATATAGTAAAAGTAAGAGCTCTCTCAAAGTATTCTCAGTGACAATGAGGTCCCAAGCTCCTCTGACAATGAGAAAAGCCAAGTTCATTTTAGGAAAGAAGCTTGACAAGCTCCTCCAGGGAAGCCAACAGGAACAGGCGATCCAACAATACCACAGAGAACCAACAACACTTCTTTCTTTTCAGTTCTCCTTTTATGTTGATAACAGTCCTCAGATGAGTCTTCCATGCTCAGCCCCATGCTGATTCAGTTCAGCTGGTATTACAAGTTGACCAGCAGTTATCAATCCACCACAACTCTTCACTGTATCCTGATAGCTGAACATAGAAAAGGTCACTATGCAGCAAGAGTCATGGATGTCTGTGGGCCCATCTGAAGTTTCTGTAATTTACAAATATCAGAGGCTAACTGAAAAATGCAATGATGTCCCAATAGTGCTTTTCCCTCCATGGAAGATGGATCTAGTATATTTATGAAAGACTTCTATTAATCAGTTACAGAAAACAGCTGGATTTTCCTTTTTGGCCTATATGATTCTGTTCACTTTACCATAATTAACAGATTTCTTAATACACCTTTGCATCCCCATAGTAAGAGTAGCTATAATAGTAGACATCATTTTTGGTCCCTCACTAACAGTATAGTTCATTTGGTTTCATTAAATGAACAGTAACAGAAAAAAATGGTCAGTGGTGAATTAGAGGAGTAAAAAGCACCACTTCAGGATCTTCCTGCAGACCTTCAGCTATCTGTGTACTCAGTGGGACTTAAGGCTGCGTGAAGAACATGGAATACTTGTTTCCTGTGGGGGATGAGGCTCTCCTATAGTTCCTAAGTCACTTGGAGGGGATGGATAGATCTGATTTAATGGCCTGAAGATTATAAGGAGGAGGTCAAAGAGAATTCCCACGAGATTCCCATATCATAGGTGCTTGGCTACAAGGGATACAGTAGATTTAGACATTGAGTTCCTTGAATCTGGTGTACTATGGTAGATAGACCTACAGCTGGTATGGGGTGGACTAGGAAATGGACTCTATCTCCTGAGGGTACTAACTGATCAGCCTGCTAAGGAGGTGGCAATGGGGAGGAGGAGCCTTCTGCAGCATCTGCTCCTTTGGGTTGATGATTTTGTGAGTACAGTTCAGGCATCTGGTAAAGGGCCACAAACATCAGGCACCTCTGATCAATTTTTCTGTTTCTTATAGTGAAGATATAATTTAAATATGGCATCTAGGCTGCCCAGGGACAACCACATCTCAGTTTCCCTAACTGTATATATGTCATTTTTTATAACACAGGAATATGAGGCATTCTCGTTGAAAGGTCTTAGTGTGGAACACTTCCCCAATGGTTAAGAAGCAATCAGAGTTGGACTCAGAAGGAATACATGAGGTTGTTCCCAGCCACAGACAAAGTAATATAAATTAGGTTCTAGGATACCAGTAGGCCTGTCCTTGGGTCAGTGTCCAACAGCTGGGACCTGACAGGATATCTCCTGATAGCCTGAGTCCTTAAGCTCTATGGCCATGACTTGGTAAGGCCGAATTCCTTTGGATATCACAGGGTAGTCTCTCTGAGTGGAAACCTGACAGGGCATCTCCTGCTAGCAGGCCTCTCCCTGGGCCAATGCCCATCAGCACGGACCTGACAGGGAATCTCCTGGAAATCATGTCGGGCATCTCCTAGTAAAGCTGGAACTTTTGCAGCTATGTCTCCAGCCTTAAGTGAGCACCACTGTTACTTTCTTTGGACCCATGGTAGCTTCTCCTATAAATACAACTTAGAAGATCCCATAACTGGAATGTCTGGCTAGATGGATGTCTCTTAGGCAATCAAAAGGGACCCATCCAAAAAGAAAACTCATCTCATTAGATCAACCCACAAAGCATATACAAATCTGGTGACAGCATCTCAACATAAAAGTCAGGAATTAGGTAAATTCAGTCAACAAGTACAGGTGATGCATCCTTTTTGATAGAAGCATAAACTTAAGGCCACAAATACAACAACAAAAGCAAACCAACTAACAAAGAGGGTAAACCAGTATAAGCAAACTACTTCAGAAATAATTCTAGGTGGACTTTTGGACCCCAAGGAAATACAGTCAGCTAAAGCCCACTTGACTGCTGCTTGCTGCTGGCTGATGAAGTGGCTGGAGTTTTAAAACAGACTAATTTTTTTCACTTTTGTGAAAAAAAAAGACAAATCTCACTTTTGTCAAGAAGATATTATACCTCTTAACTTGAATTTTTGGGTAATCCAGAACCAACAACTAAATAAATGGAACACCTGATAGCCAAAAGGCTGAAGGAGAGAAAAGACCAGAAACAGAGAAGGAAAAAAAACCCTAAAACCTGTGAAAAGGAAGCACTCATCTTGAGCCCATGATCCATGGAGAAGCACAAACACTCTCAACATTAAACAAAGAGCTGCCCGAATCCAAGGCAAATTACTAAGTAATCCATAGAGAAAATCAACAATTTAGGCAGCCCAGATCCATGTCTTCTATTTCCCTGCTGTAGGCAGCTATGTCAAACCACTCGCCTATTCTGCTTGAATTGGCTTAGGCCCTACCCTACTGAGGCCCATGTCACAGCTGCAACACTGTATGGATGAGTAACAGAATATAAGCCCAGTTGTCTTGTAGGGGTCCTCATGTCCCATCAGGGCCTTTTGTTTTCCAATCCAGTCATTTCCACATGGTGACTGGTTTGCCTTTCATCCCAGGAATCTATTCTTTGCACAGTAAGGGGAAGAAAGAAAGTCTCCAGAGAGAATAGGAAAGTTACCTTCCTTGCTGGCGGAGTTGTAGGTTTCCCGCTTCTATTGAGGTCTCCAAAAGTCTCTGAGCTGCTAATGCCTCATGTCTGGTGAGGCCTCTAGGCAATGAAGCTATACAACAAAGTCCTTGGTTCATTGTCCAAGATCAGAGGAGATCAGGTGCATTCAGGGTAGTACGGCAGTAGAGTCTTGGCTCATTGTCTAATGAGATCTTCTGAGGTTTGGTGATATCCTGCCTGTCTGCTCACCAGATTTTACAGTTGAGTGGGCCAATAATAGTTCAAGGTCTTATGTATGAGGAACAAAGAACTGCCAAATGTGCACCCAGTAGCATGTAGTACGTTTTCTGAAGATCATGGGAAGTCATGCTTGGGGCCAGGCCATGCCAACAATGGTACAACCCAGACCAAGAAAGGTGCTGGGGTGACAGAAAAACACTATACACAAGTCAAAGGTAACAGCAGCAACAGGAAAAAGTAGTAGACAACTCAGACTTTTGGAATTAAAAGGCCAGACACCTCTCCTTTAGGTTCTTCCCACTGAATCTCTCTCTTCTGCTAACGCTCTGGCATTTGTGCTCTTGCCTAGAGCATCAGTGAGCTTCTAGGATTGTGTTATTGTCTACTTCTCCGAGAATAACGGAAGCAGGAATAACCAAGGGTGCTGCTTAGTCTAATGGGGACAGAGGGAGTGATTCCCTCAGCTCCTTTGTTTCTTACTATACTAAAGTCAGTATGCTGTTTTTAAAAGAATACAGCGAATATGTCACTGAATAGGTTTTTATAAAAAAAAATTTAATTTCTGCCATTCTAAATTCAGTTTCTATAATTCTACCAACATAATGAAACAGCTATAACAAGGAACTTTAATCTTACCTGATGCAAGAAGTTTTTGATACTTAGGAATATATTTCTCAAGGAGACGCTTCATACGTGAGTCTCTAGCCTTATCCAAAGCACACTTTCCATTGTCACTTCTAAATAACGGGTCAGCTCCACTCAAAAGAAGTAACTCTGCCACCTAGAAAAAGATTATGTAAGATAGTCCAGAAAAAGTGGATGATTGTAAATGTGTTCTAGTACACAATAAATATATGCTTTCAAGGATATTTTTAGGATTACTTGTAACATCTTTAGCCAACAAAAATTAATGTAGTTGTTATTCAGTAAACTTAATTTGTTAGCCCACAGGTCCCTTCTCTTACAAAAAAAATGGAGGGCAGAGAGGGAATGTAGCAATTGTTCTTTTTTAAACTGAAAGGAGAGGGGAAGAAGGTAAATAAGAAAGGAAGAGGGGAATGTAGCATTTTTTTAACTCAAAATTTAAAGGAGACAAAGCTATTGCCTTGCTCATCGTTTTTAAGTTGTATCTCCATTTTGGTTCCTATAGGCAACCATCTAATGCTGAGAACCAATTGCTGAATGGAAACTGTCCCCAAAGTGTTGGTCCTTGGCACTCGAATGATGCCAAATGAAACCAAAATGAAACCAAACCAAACCAAAACACTGGATTGGTAACCCTACAGCTTGATACATATGCATTATCTCTGGGCTTCCCACCTCTACTCTTTTCCCATTTATCCTATTGCTTCTGAGGGTTCCAGGAGGCAGACTAGCTGTCATCATACTTTGGCCAAACTGTAAATAAATTCATTTTCCTTTTGGGGTTGTCTTTGCTTATTCTCAATGTGATAGTTGACCTAATGCCATCTACTGGGATCCCTAGAAACAGGAATGGTAGAGGGATAAGGAAAATATGCAAGAAAGGGAAGGAAGCTAGAAATATTTGAAGTTCAGTTGCTGGTGAAATGAAGCTAGAGAATATGTCAGGAATTAGGATTGGGCTCTGCAGTGGTATAGTAGAAGTACAGTTATTATGAGTAGAAGTACAGTTATTATGAGTAGGCACTTAAAGCAAACAGTCTAACAACAGGGGCAGATAAAAGAGCTAATTTAATCAATAGCTGGTTAATCAAGAAGCCACTAAAGCTTAGAAATTAAAAGAAAACAAGGATAAAATGCTGAAATGACAACACAGAAATAAGGACTATCCCCTTCAGAGAAGACTCATTTCCTTTGAATTAAGTTCTCTGGTTCGGCCTATGTACATAAGGCCAAGACAAAGAAAGCATATTGGATATCTTTCCGCTCTTAGTGAATCTCTACCAAAGGCTTTTACTTCATATTATTTTCACTGAGACTCATTACTTTCTCCTTTGGTTCATAACTTCATTCTTCATTGTTCATGGACAACCAGCTCAGTTTGTACAGAAAAAACAGTTACAGTAGCAAATATGACTTGACAAGTTTCAGTGGATAACTATATCTTTGTATCTGTATATAGGTATACATAGTACTGCTGTTTATCCTCAGACAATCAGGAAGAAACTTGCTAATCATTATTCTGTCACTCATTCTCAAACTCTGATCAATCAACTCTTCGGGACCACTCTCTACCCACTGCTGCCCCAGGGAAAAATGATGTCCCCATCTTTAATGCACGTATTTTATTATAACCCCCAATATATTTACTTGATGTTATGTTTCTTTTATATGTCTCTCTTACTGCACTGTTAAGTTTCTTGAAGGTAGGATTATGATTTTCCTTTTATATTAGTTGATAATGTTTGCATAGGAAATTAATGAATATAGTTCAAGATACAGACAGCTCAGAAGAGCATACAAAGAAACTAAGTTTTCCTTCTCCATGCCCTTCCTCCAGAAAAACTATTTTTTCTTGAGTCAGCCCTGGTTATAGTTTCCTTTGAATTTTTCCAGCATTAATCTAGTTCAACAAGTATGAGCATATATATTTATATGCATATATATATCACATAAATGCACACAGATTTTCTTATACAAGTGGTCATATATTATACATACTTCTTTGTATCTTGCCTTCTTTCTCACATCATCCCAACAATATTCCTTAGAGCTAGTTCCATACTAATGTCGTCTTCCTCTTTCTTTTTGACAGTGTAACAGTCTACTATATGTATTATGATTTATTCAACAAGTACCCTATTGATAAATATTAAGTTGCTTCAAATCTTTAACTACAAATAAATGTCTTAATTGTCTTTATATTTCCAATGCCTGATTCAGTATCTGGTGCAGAGTAAATGATCAAAATACTATTTAATAAAATAAATGGCTCTATAGGAGAATGTAAGAAGCAGCTATGAAGTGTATATTATACTAAAAGAAGACTGAAATCCTACAATAATGTCTGGAATGAGAAGATCTAAATTACTATTCATTGTATGCACTTAAAAATATATATTCATTTCCCCTTATGAGAAAATATTCTGACTAAAACAGCTTGTATCATCTTCTCTTCTCTTTGATATTAGTGAGCCTCCAAATGTGTGTCGTGCACAAACACAACAGGTATCCTTTTGCCACCTTCCCGTATAAACAAAAACTGTAACCAGCTCCTTCCCTTTGGGCTTTTGTCCTGAGAATGACAAAGACAGAGGCACCAACACAGAGCAAGCAGTGGGGAACGACTGGGTATGGTTTATTAGAACAAAAGGAAATCTCTACCTGTTGTTTAGAGGGGCTCCAAAAGATGAAAACCACGAGTGCGAAATCCACAGATTTTTATGCCGTCTTTGACATGAGAACAATGTAGGAAAATGTGCAGGTAAGCAGGTAAGTAATTGCAGCTGTCTGCTACTGTCAGGCTTTTGCTGCCCAGAAAACAGACTATTATTTCTTTGTTCTTTGCATTTCAGGCCTCTGGGGCTTTTTTTTTTTTTTTAAAGTTTACCCAGGGACTTGTCCTTTGTGCTCTCACTTCCCAAGGCTTACCTTTGGCCCATTAAGGTCCTGACATTAAGTTTATTTAGTTTACTTGCTTTTTCAGTTAGTTTACTTACTTTTTATCCTAATCTCCCCTTTATCTGCTAGTCTCATCATCATCATACATGAGTTAAAGAAGTTACCAATCTCCCTTTTGAGAATATAAGCACATAATCTCAGGTATAACACCACTCTTTGGACTACTTTTTAATCTTGTCTGTATTCTGGGCTGTGGGTTGTATATGTGGATGCACATTTACATTCATTTCACATATCAACATTAATGTTTGAAAAGCATTATTTGTATGTTTGATGTCATAGAAAGTTAAAAAAAATAGGGAAGTATTAAGTAGCAAGTAAAAATCTCTTACATATTTATGAAACTAGGTTTAAAAATGCTCTTTCCTCCAAAGATACTCATTTGTGGAACCTGTATGTATTACCCTATTTGGAAAATCTTTAGAAATGTGATCACATTAAAGATTTAGGGATGAGGAGATTATCACAGTTATCCTTATACAAGAGAGGCAGAGGGAGATTTCACAAGCACACACACAATGGAAAAGGCAATGTGAAGACTAAGGAAGAATATGGGATGATGTAGCCTTGAGTCAAGGAATGAAGAAATGTCAGCCACTTCTAGAAACTGTAAGAGACAAGCAACAAATTCTCCCCAATGGCTTCTGAAGAAAGTAAATCCCTAAGAAATGAGGAGCTGTTTTAACAGATACTTAAGTACAGAAAATTTTTCGTATTAATTAACAGATACAGACTAACAGAATTTGAAAAAAGCCTGGAATACCATGAGCAGATATTAGAAAGAAACATGATGTCAAAGGCTCTGATATTAATGGCACAAGAGGAGACAATAGAGAAAACCTCTGCTGTCTTAAGAATGCATGTATCATCATAAAATATTGGTGTAGGAAAGTAAATCATGATGGGAAAGTCTGGTTGAAGCTCAGAAGTCAAGAATGCTGACAGAAGTGGAAATCATAATGACAAGGTTCAGGAAGTTTCAGCTGATGACTCCACTGGCAGTTTCACGCCAGGCCACATGTGTTATGCTCAGGCACGTCTGTTTGTCTACATTTTGGTCATATCCTGCAACTTTGCTGGAGACTGAGATTAAAAGTGAAAGAATACATAATCTGATAGAGTTAATTTCAAGACAGCTCAATATTCAGGCTTTGGCATGGATACCGCTGAGTCAACTTTATGCAGAAAATCAAGAGCAAAGAGCATAACTGAATAAATTTAAAAGTTTTGAGTTTGGCCAAAAGGAAAACTCCAATAAAGCTGGAGACTACAGTATTAAGAGTAACAGAGATCATGGTTGCTGATAAGATCAGCATTAAAAAGAAGCTAAGTAATTTACAAAAGGAAAATAGGAAAAATGGCTTGAAAACATGGAAGGAATTTGAAAGACCTCACCAGACACAGATGCCAGGGCAGAAAAACTGAACACACTGCTTAAAAGAAGGGAGTCCTAAGGCATGCTGCTTGAGTAAGGTCTTCTAGGAATGGACATCCTGAAATTTTGTTCACAATGCTTAGCCATCCAGGCACTCAGAAGCCCCTGCAGCCATTATGTAAAAGGCTTAGGCTACTTCTCAAGTTAACAGCAGTCCCAGGCATATCCACATGGTACTGGTTTTACAGGTCTGCACAATCCAAGAGCTGAGGGGTCAGAGAGGTATTCACACAGACTTAGAAGGCCTGGGAGGCCAGGCACTGTGCTCCTGAGAAGAGAGGTACATGAGGCTATAACAGTAAAGCTGAAAGTTCAATGGAGACCCCCAAGAAGTTGGAGAAGTCAGGAACATGGAATGTCTGAGGAAAGCCCCAGAGAGTGAGCAGAGAGCTGCAACCACTGGCAGGCATTATCATAGGGACACGGTCACTTAAACTCTTTGGAATTCACATCTCATTGCCCTAACCTGTCTCAGTCTCACAATGGTCTCTGCACGGTGCCTCAGGCCTGCTAGAGCCCTCATACCCAATGGAACTATGCTTGACTCTCAGAACTGGCTAAAGGCCTACCAGATTTGCCTGGTGACCCAGACCTGTGTGAGATTTCATTCAGCACTCAGTGTTTTCCTTGGGCCTATCAGAATTTCCTGTCAGCCTCAGGTACACCTAATTTTCCACTAAATGCCCTGGCCTGGTATGAAGCTCTATCTGGTTGTTTTGAGCTGGTCCCATGGACACAGGCGT